GCGGCCTCTGCCTAATATCCTGTTGTCATAGCAACATCCACAGTGAATTCATCCTGGAGCTGGACCACTGAAGTAAATGGTTATCTTAGGGAGACCAATGCTGCACCAAGTAAGAACAATGTTACAACTTCTTCCTTTTTGGCTCTAAACTTTGCTACTGAAACTTTCCACTATATGCACTGTTCTGTGACATTTGACTGCAACTACTATCTGCTATGTTCCAAACAATGGATAAAGGCCTTGAAGATAAGTGGGATGGGTGAAATGGAGAGGGAGAGACAGATTCAGGGATAAGCAAATCAGAATCGGGTTAAGGAGGAGTGGCAGATGTGTTTTTAGCTGGTTCTCTATTTTCATAGTAATATACTTCACAAACATTCTAAGCAAGAATGAGAATGGGACCATGACCTCAGCCAGCTCTGACAGCAAGATAGGCATTGGGCCAGATAAGAGTAATGGCAAAGCCTCATTACTCAAACTCTACCAGGGTTCACCAAGCAGCTTGCAACTGACTTTGGATTCTTCCAAAAGTTTCAAGTCATGGTCTCAGAGATCCAAACCCAAAAAAGAAGCTCTTTTGTGTTTCACCTGAAGCTGATATTCAGCTGGTATGCACTAGTGTGACTTCATTGATTGTTAAAATAATAAAATACTCTTACACTAGTTGATAATTAGATGCTTCCCTTAACCACTGAGCTCCCCATTATCACTTAGACTGCTCTCCAGACCACTACACAGTCCTTTAACAAAAAATTTGATGCCTAGTATCAACAGAGGACCTCTAAGACACAAGGTCTGTAGTAGGCATCTGTTTTTGATAGGTTGATGCCAAATAATTTGATGACTACCACTCCTGATCTCATCCTCTGGCTTTGTGTCATTGACAGTGGATTTAACATTCTTGTACTTCTCTCCTGCTTGCTGAGTTTCTTGGATGTCTCTGTACATAGCCCAACTCTGTGTTTTATTTGTTTGTTTGTGTATGTGTGTGTGCGCGTGTGTGTGTGTGCGCGTACGTGTGTGTGTGCGCGCACATGCCACATATGCATTGCCACCTTTGGCTTGAAGGTGTTCATGACTCCATGTTTATCTCAGGGCAATATCCAATAGGATAAGGGTGATTAGAAGATACCTCTTGAGGAGCTGGTTTGGGAAGATGAGGAGATAACCCTGGGAGAAATGGAAATTCTCAGATGTTGAATCTGTGCCCTACATCCTCTATCAAGTTTTTCACTACTTGACTCCCCCAAAGGGGAATCTTCCCTTGATTTGTATCAGTTTATAGCTTGGGTTCTCTCAACTCCAATTAGAGCTCTGATTACCACAAATACCAGATTTCTAAGACAGAATATTTTGGGATCTGGTAAAAGCAAAGTCAGTTGCAGCAATAAATCCTAAGGACACTGGAATTCCTTTCTCTATCCTTCTTTATCTCTGATCTTGCCCCCTAGATTTAGAATATTGTAACTATAGTACATTAGACATTATTCAATTTTTCATTGAAATTATGGAAAAATTAAGGCCTAGTCAAGAATTTGACTAAGGTCACTGTATTTATTGTTCTATGACTGCTATACAAATTACTTCAAATGTAATGCCTGAAAATAACACAAACGTACTATTCTACAGTTATGTAGATCAGAATTCTGACACACTGAGATAAAATGAAGTGTCATCAGGGCTGTGTTCTTCTGGAGATTTTGGGGGAGAATTTGTTTCTTTGTCCTTCTCAGCTTCTAAAGCCTACTCACATTCTTTGGTTCTTGGCCCTTTTGCACCATTTTTAAAAACAGCAACATTGCATCTTTAAATCTCTCTCAGACTCTAACCTCCTCTTCTGTTCTCTTTCACTTTAAAAGGACCCTTATTACATTGAGCCCACCCAGGTAATTCAATATAATCTCTCATCTCAGTGTCAGCTAATTAGTAACCTTAAATCTATCTGCAACATTAATTCTTTCTTACAATGTAAACTAGCATACAGATTCTGGGGATTTGGATGTGAACATCTTTGGAGGACCATTATTCTGCCTACCACAGCAATATAGCCAGTAAATAACAGATCCAAGACTGGAAGCCCAGACTAGTGGTTTTCTTTATCTTGTAGATATAATTGGAATAAGTAACCCAGGAGATGAAAAGCATGGAATAATAGTTCAAATGCTCAGGACAATTAGACATCAACCTGTAGGTTTGGAAGAAATTTTTTATACATAGAGTCTCCAGCCTCTCTCAAGTCTTTGTCATGGGTCTGAGGTTTTGTTTGTCTCTCTGGATAGTTAAGAATAGGAGGAATTGGAAAATGGAAAAGAAAGAAGTGTGCACCAGTATAAGCTGATAATTTGAATCTCTGTTTCTCGACTAATTTTCAATCAGATACCACTTGGTCTTGTTTTGCCTTCTAGGAAAGGGCCTGCCTATCTTTGTCATCATTCTCATCATCTCTCTGTGCTGTATGGTGGTCTTCACTATGGCTTATATCATGCTCTGCCGGAAGACATCTCAACAGGGTGAGTGATAAGTATGACTGGGTGGCTCTTGCTTATTCATTTATTTTGGAAGTGTAATTGAGCATAAACTCTACATCAGACACTGTGTTAGGCACTTCAAAGATTTCCCAGCCTAGTTTTGAAGTGAGGGTAGCAGTGCATGAAGACAGATATGCAAGTGAAGAATGTTAATACAACTGGTGTAAGTTAATTTACAAATCTTTGGTACCCACCCTAATACAGCCATCTCTGTAATGGATTGTATAATAAAAATTCAAGAGAAGGAGAAGTCACAACCCTTGGCCTCATGTTGCTTACAATTTATTTAGGAGATTCAATGTCGAATTATGGAGTTTATTAATAATGATACATAGCAATAAAAACTATAGACTCAAAGCCTGGAGAAAGCAATCTATGCTAAAGAGATCCAGAGTGGTGGAGAGACAGTTAGGGCTAGAGTAATTAGCAAAGACTTTCAGAAGAAGGTGGGGCTAAAACCAGGCCTTGGAGGATGAAAACAATTTGGAAAAGGGCAGTATTCCAGGAAGGAGGAACTGTATGCATAAAGGTGTAAAGGCTTAAAAAATAACTGTGAATGGGCTCATCAATAAAGAAAATTCGTGTAGCTGAGCAATGATGAAACACAGCTGAAAGGGAAAGTTAATTCCTGATACAGTAGGTCTTGAATGACAGACTAAGGAATTTAGACTTTTTTCTCTAGGACTTGCAAAGGCATTAAAAGACACCAAAGTTTTTAAAGCAGAAGAGTAAGATGATTAAGGTGCAGTTGGTAGGGCCATTTACCACCTGTGAGCCAACAGAGAAGGAAAAAGATAATTGAGATGATTCTTAAGTAAAATTTAGCTACACCTCAATGCCTGCTGTAGTAGCCATTTTACCTAGCATTAGTGTGTTTATTCCACTGCACCAGCTCTTATTTCCAAATATCTTGGATCCTACATGGGGCCTTATAACCAAAGAAGAGAAGGGAGCCTTGAGTATCTCCTTTATATGGGTCTCAAGTATCAGCTCTGGGTTTGGCCAGTTAGCATGGCTATGAATCATAAGGCTAAACTCGGAAGTGGAGATATTTCAAGTGGCTACAAATTCTAAGAATACTAAAAGTAAAATAGTCATTATAGTCTCAATGAGACGTTGTATAAATTGGAACCATATTAGATTTTTTCCCTCTCAAAAACCTTCCAGGCTCCTCATGACTCAGAGGATAGAGGTCAAAATGTAGCATTCCATTAAGACCCTCTGTGACACAGTTCTAGTTTATCTTCTCTACCTCCACCACTCCCTCATACCTAATTTCATTTTCAGTCACTGAAGTCAAACAAGCAAATAGGTTATACATCTTATAGCTTTATGCTTTTCCCTTCCTAGATTCCTTTTCCAGAATTCCTGTTTTCTACCTCTCTATAAGGGAGGCAATTTTGGGGGCAATGATTCAATTCAACATGTATTTACTACTATGTGCCAGGAGCTAGGTATATAAAAATGAAAATAACACAACCCCTGAAGTATGGAAGCTACTAGGCCAATGAAGGAGGTAGGATTTGGAAATACAAGAATATCACAAAGGAGAAGGTCTGCAGCAGCATGACATTTTTGCTTTGTTGTAGCGTAACACATGCATTCCCAATTGCATGTCTGAAAGATTATAAGCCCCTTTATAGGGTAGAGGACAGTACCAAGAAACATTGATCTTCGTACCAGGCCATAAAGCCTTTAAGCTTGCATGGAATGCAGATACTTCTCCACAGGAGAAGGCAATGATGACCTATTCTGGGACTTTTTCTCAGATATAGGGTGGAGATGAATGCATTTGGGAATGGTTTAGGCCATAGTCCCTGACATCAGACTAATTTAGCCCCTTATACCTGGGCTCCAGCCTGGCTGCCAAGTTTCACACAAGGACTCCCAGGGGATCTTTGGCAAGATTCCTGGTTAGGGAATGGATTTAGTTCCAGTGTTCCTCGTCCCACCACATTAAGCAACTGTTCCAGCCCAATGTCCTGAGTCAGAGTATGCCTAAGAGGACAGTTACCAAGTATGCTTCCTCTTCCTTTTCCTGAGAAATCTATATCCTTATGTTTCAACTCACCCTTCCAATCCCCTCCAGTTGCTGGAAAACCGAACATAGAGATTTCCCTCTATGTCTCCCCTTCCCTCACTTTTTAACTGGTACCCAGGGTTCACTTTTGGCCCTTGTCCACTTCCATGAAGACTTCTGACCTGATTTCTCCTTCTTTTCTAGAGCACGTCTATGAAGTGGCCAGGTAAGATAGCCTCCCATCATCTAT